TATGCATTTCATTTGAGATTTGAATTTTGATATGTATATGTCTTTTGGTATGTTTAGTATCACATATACATATGCATTTAAAAAAGTAGTTGAAATATTTATAGAACAATAATTAATAAAGTATCTCTTTCATTATGGAATTGTTGGCAGTCTATGAAAACTTGTCATTAAAAAAAATAAATAAATAAATAAATAAATAAATAAATCAATTGGCGAAGTTCAAATAATCAAGAACATCTGGTGAAACTAATCTTTATCAATTAACATATTTATAAACAAAAGGACAATATAATCTTCATATATAAAGTTTAGTATTGGAACCACACATAATGACAATTAACATTCAAATTGACTCAAGTTGTATCACATGCTAAACAAATTAACTATACTACTACGATAACAACTAGCTATACATCATAGTGCAGGAGGAGGAGGTTGTTGAGAAGTTCTTCATCATAGTGAAAATTTTTGTCATGCGTTCCCCCAAGGATGTCAACCATTTCTTCTATTCTTGATACGAACAAGTTAAAATCACTTTGCAGCTGATCATGTTGATCTTGCATTCTCCTCTCAATACGTGAAAAACTCTCCTCTTGAAACCTTCAAATCTACTCAAATCTGCTTACTATTTCATCTATAGTATGATAATACTTTTCTTGTTCATTCTGAGAAGATCCAAGTTCAGTACCCGTTCTTCTTCTTTTGTGCAAATAGACTCATCCTTGATTTATTTTTCTAGAACAGGGACACCTTCCTAAACCATTGCATCTTCCTCCATTTCATCCGTAATCAGAAACCATTCTCCTGCCATATTCTTTCTAACCAAACCCATTTTACATAATGTTACATCCCCCAACAAATTATTTGCAGAAAACTTAATCTTATTTGCTTCATCATTAGTAAGTGATCTGAAGACCCAACTTCTCACAAATTAATGTAACAAGGATCCCCCAATATATTTGTCCTTTTTCTGCCTGAATCTCTCAAAACTTCTTAATAAAAAACTTTGTTGAATTTACTTGCCTCCCTACTATTGCTGCTTCCATGAACAATAAATCCTTATCACATTTCCATTTCTCTCTTTTCTGCCATTAAATGTGAAAGTCAAAAATCTATGAGGGTGCCTTTGGCTCCCTATTTTTATCCATATTCCCAATCCTATTCTCCAAATAATGTTTGGCACACTATTCCAGAAATATTACCCTATTTTTTAATTACTTTTAGACCCCATAAGGTTATTAATTTCACTAAATGCCCCCTGAATTTTTTTTTTTAAATTAACAAAACCCCCCCATCAACCCAATTTGTCAGATTCCGGCAACCACCGCCGGTGATAGCCAGAATCTGTACAACGGCCTAAATTCGGACCATAAATGACCGGAATTACACCGATCTGGCCTTTTCCGGCAAGATCCACCACGGATCTGGCCGGAAAAGGCCAGATCTGGCCGTCAACGACGGCCAAAGAAATGGCCATCTTTGGCCTTTCTGACCGTCGACGGCCATAACAGGCCCTTAGATCTGGCCTTTTCCGGCCAGATCCGTGGTGGATCTGGCCGGAAAAGGCCATAATGATGCGTTACGGCACAGATCCGATCGGTCTGTGCCGTAACGAAATTTTCCGGCCAGATTCCGGCGGTGGCGGCCGGAATCTGACACTACAGGTGGTAGGGGTGTTTTTGTCATTTTATATAGTAGGGTCTTTAATTAAATTAGTAAACCTATGGGCTTTTTCATAAATTTTTCAAATTTACCTCGTAATACTCCCCTATCCAACAATCCAATATTATCCTCAAAATCCTATCCAAAATACTACACCAAACGCACCCTGAAATACTCTTATAGTAAGATTCTTTAACTTTGTAGACTTACACCTATGTGGATGGTAAATCCTTATTCCAGAAACATCTAGAAATATCCGTGTAAGCTTGCTTGGAATCCCATGTTCTAGATACGTTATCCAAACCTTCAAAATCAAATCCTATCTAGGTTGCTAACTCTTGTGGTCTCACTACAAAATTATGATTCTTTAATCTAAAAAACATTGTATAGGCCAGAAAATCATCAATATCCGTCTCCACAACTTCCAAACTACTAAAAAACTCATAGATCAAATTCTTATGTCCATCATATCTAATACTCACCAACTGTTCCCATTTCAAATTACAAATCCAACCATTAAATTCATCAAATAAACCCAAACTTGTCATAAATTATAAATCCAAACTTCTTCCAAGGCAAATATCTCTTTTCACCATCTCCTTGTATTGCTTTTTAGGTTGCAAGTCTCGAAATTGGACTCCAAATGACGATGTGCCTCCATGAGGAATGGTTGTATTTTTTGCTCTTACCATTTTCTGCTTTATTCTAAAATTTGTATAAATAAAAAATTCATCATCATAATCAGTGCGTACAGCACATTGAAAACAAATCAGTGCATACAACACAAATCAGTGAATTAAAAAAAAAAAAAAACTTGCACATGATCCTGAACTATGTTAAGTGTCACTAATTCATAAACATTCCTACAATAGGAGGAAATAGAAAACTAACTGGTGAGGAAATTGTAAGTCAAGTGATACGGGTAGAAATTGAACTTGAACTAGTTGAAAAAAAAAGTCTAATTCAAATATTCATTTACTTTCAATCTATAGAAATATGAGTGTTTGAAATCCAATACTGTCAACATATGAAAATAGTATCAAATTCAATTTCTATTCATGAAGGCAAAATTTTCAAAAATTAATGGCTTTAAAAAACAAGAACTTCATTAAGATTTGAACATATATCATGTCAATCTTGGAATTTAATTGTTATGAACAGAGCATCAGATAGGTCATTTACAACACAGTTAACTGTTTTGATGGTTTGATATGCCAAATTTGTGGCTGATGGGATCGAATCCTAAGCAAATGAAGATCTAATCAAGTACTAAATATCTCATTTAACCCCTCGAGGTTTTCTTTTATTTTCACTTGTGTTGAATTGGGTACCCAAATATGTACATATATAAACAAACTAGTTCACTTTCATATATAATAGATTCAAGCAAATCCCACCTTATCAATTATCAGAATTTCATTCGAATCTTACTCATATTCTAGTGAGAATCCACCAAACAAGTGTTTGAAAGTAACATGCAAATTAACATTTGAAACTGACATAATTCATCTACCCACCTTACAGCTCAATCAAGCGAAATCATCAATCACAACCAATAAAATCATAAAAATTCACATGATGAATAGAAACAAAATAAACACAATAACTTACAAGAAGAACGGCAGATGGCCTCAATGAAGAAGAAGAACGGCAGATGCAGTTATTTTTCGATGAAGAACTTGGAGTTGGATGTAGCTTTTTTCTTTCAATAATCCCAAGAAAATGGACAACCGTCCATTTATTTATTGCTTATTTTGTTTTTTAAAACTTTTTCTGGGATCGCAAATTTTTAAACCCTAAAAATTGAAATTAAAAAAAAAAAATTTGTCTCGTTGTTCAATGGATGGTCATCCATCTGATACAGATGGCCGTCCATTAAAAATAGTCGTACGTCCATATAACATGGAATGGGCATCCATTCTTATTCTTTTAAAAAATCATTCCTCCCCATTTTAAAAATATTGCAAGTCATTGTGGACAGCCTACCATTCGAGATGGACGCCTATCCGTAGGAAATGGACTCATATCCATATAATATGGATGAGAGTCCATTGTTATTTTCGTTCAAAATTTTGTCCAGACTGGTGGACGGTCGTCCATTTGTAATGTGCAGCTGTCCATCAAATATGGACAATCGTTCATAATTGTTTGACGACCGTTCATTCACGGAAGGTATGTTATAGTGTCCAACGTGGCCGCATTTAACTCAGATGCCACATAAGTCAGTATAATAATTCTGTGAAATTAATTATATATATAAACATACACACACATGAGGAATTATGTTTGCGGGTCAAAGTATAGTATTTAATTGATGAGAGGACAGAACTTAATAATTGTAATTAAAGAAATTTCATTTGAGGGGGTTAAAGTGTAAAATATTGTGATTGGGTGACAAATTTATTCAAGTTCAAACTAAGAACAGGGGTGTTTTTGTTATATATATAGACACACACACGAGGAATTATGTTTGCGGGTCAAAGTATAGTATTTAATTGATGAGAGGACAAAACTTAATAATTGTAATTAAAGATTGCACTTGAGGGGGTTACAGTGTAAAATATTGTGATTGGGTGACAAATTTATTCAAGTTCAACTAAGAATATCGGTGTTTTTGTTATATATATATATATATATATAGAGAGAGAGAGAGAGAGAGAGAGAGAGAGAAACAAGAGGAATTATGTTTGCGGGTCAAAGTATAGTATTGAATTGATGAGAGGACAAAACTTAATAATTGTAATTAAAGAAATTGCATTTGAGGGGGTTAAAGTGTAAAATATTGTGATTGGGTGACAAATTTATTCAAGTTCAACTAAGAACAGGGGTGTTTTATATATATACAAACACACACGACGAATTATGTTTGCGGGTCACAGTATAGTATTTAATTGATGAGAGGACAAAACTTAATAATTGTAATTAAAGAAATTGCATTTGAGGGGGTTAAAGTGTAAAATATTGTGATTGGGTGACAAATTTATTCAAGTCCAACGAAGAACAGGGGTGTTTTTGTTTATTTTCAAAACAAGGTTGGGAAATTCATTATTTAAGGAAAAATCGAGACATAAATTACAATAACTCCAATTAAAGTGACCTATATACTCAATACTGAATAGTTGTAGAATCTTCAAAGATTCAGACCGTTAAAAGACCTCCTCATTTCTTTCCCTCCTTTGAGCCTTCACCATCGGATCGCCTTCTTTCGTTTTCCTCATATAATCATCTTTCATCCATCTCTAACAAAAACAAAAGAAATTATAATAATAATTAAATTAAATTAAATTAAAACACATTTCATTTGTTGTGATTTGATTTTACCGATTCTTTGTATTTCAAATTCCTTTCACTTTCCTTTCAGTTGCAAAGTTTAATTAATTGGCTATGGACCGTAGAATGAGGCCGGCGGCGTACATGCGGCAAAAGAGCGTAGCGGCGCCGTCGTCGCCAGTGTCGCCACACCGGCACACACGCTCAGGATCAGCTGGCGTGTCGAATGTGAGAAAAGCGCAAACGAAAGCCGCGGCACAACGATTGGCTGCCGTGATGGCACACAAACCATCTGATCATCATGAGAATGACGACGAAGACGACGAAGACGATCATTCTCATGATTATAGCGGCATTGGCCTTGCCGTCACTGGTGGTAGAGCAATGCAGTCGGGCTCGCGGTCTCCTTTGGTAAAATAATTAGCACATTTCTTTTAGATCAGATGGATATTCAAAATTTCGCAAAAATTACTATAAAGTTCAATATAAGAATTATACCAGATTGAGATGTAATGCAAAATGTTAGCAGTTTCAAGATTCAAGTTTGTCGAAGATTGGATCTCTTGGATTCGAAATTTGGCTCACATCAAGGGGAAATTTATAAATTTGATAATAATAATTAAAAAAAAAATTATTAGAAAAAGCTTCAAATGAAGCAATAAGAACAGAGTTTAGAGATGCAATGTTTAGTGTGTTTCTATCAGCCATGTGTTATGAATTCTACCTGTAGAAATTATAGTTGTTTTTTGGCTGAAATTTCCCTTGATTTGAAGATAAAATGACTGCAGACCAGACCCATGCCTCAAAGGCGTAATCAGGTGATGAACCAACCAGCTGAAGATGACAATGGTGAGGCCTATGATTATGGCTTGGTCACTAGTGCGAACATTGGGCTGGGTGGGGGAAGAGCAATGCGAACTCGCTTGCCTATGGTAATTAAAATTTATAATTGTTACGAATATTGTTCTGCATTCCTAGCTTTTACTATTGTAAGCTAATTTTATGAAGCAAAATGAAATTTTATTCCACAAACAATTCTGTAGATACCAGTCTCGGGATGAAATTCAAAGAAACATAGTAACTATATATAATAACAGTTAAAATACTGTTATATTCACATTGAAACATATTTGTGATACATTATATTATAATTTGACATGCAAGGCCCCATTTAGTACTGGACTAGTAGATTGAATGAATTCAAATATTGTCAGAGATTTAGTGAGTGCCAATTCTAAAATTTGCATGGCTGTACATTTTAATTCCTCTATGCTCTTTTAATATGCTTGCTTGAAAATTATATTACATTATAGTTCTTTTTTTCTTTAATAAATGTAATGCAGACCCAAACTACGCCTCAAAGGCATAGACAAGAATCAACCAATGAAGACAATAACGAGAACTATGATTATAGTAGGGTGAGCGGTGGAGCGAGTAGTGGACTTGCTGCTAGAAGGTCAATGTGGGCACCTCCTGCTATGGTATCTGTTACAGATATTGCTTAAGATTCTTTGCTTTTTGTTGTGTTTATTAAGCTAATCCTATAGAAAGGCATGCATTTCAATTGACAAAAAATATAGTCAATACAGGAGTTTAATGATTCAAAGAACTAGTGTTGAAGCTGAAAGACTCTATTTCAGTAATGGTTAGTAATTCATAATATTGCTTAATACGGATACATTCTGTTACAATTGAACACACGTGGGCTCCTTTAGGTTGAATTAATTCATATGTTGTTATGAGGTTTACAATCACTACTAAATTCTAAAGTTTACATTGATGAGTGTTTCAATCCCTTTGCGCTCATTTAGTTTGCATGCCTGGAAATGGATATTACATTCATATTGGTTCTTATATTGACTTACATAGTAAAGTACAGACCAAACCTACACCTCAAAGGCATAAACAAGTGATAGAGGATGACGACTCTGATGACAACAACAGTCCGCCAATTTCTGCATTCGCTAGAAGGGGCCTGCGGTCACCCCCTCCTAAGGTAACCATCATGAATATATATTTAGATTCTTATACTGTGTTGCTAAGGTTATTTGTACACGAAGCATTTTCTAAATTTCAGTCAACAAGCAATTTTGATTATCTTTCAGTCTACTATTACTAGTGCAAAGAAGTATAGTTGAAGTTAAATTGTTCTTTTATACTAATAGTACTTATGGTATCGTTACAATTACATATAAGCTGGTTGGTGATGTAACGTGTTATAATTTTATGTACATCACTTGATTTAGTAGTGAACTCATAGGCTGAACTAATGCTGGAATTGATATGTATTGCATTTTAACCATTTATTCTCCTATAGGTCGCATGCTTGGAAATCAATATTGTTTGCATATATGCTCTTACATTGATTTACACTATGAAGTGCAGTCCAAAATTTCTAAGCAAGAGGCAGCAAATGAAGATCATGATGAGGACAATGATTATAGTAGGTTGAGCAGTAAAGGAAGTATTGGGGTTGCTGGTGGAAAGTCTAAGCAGTCGCCCACACCTTTGTGGTCACCCATACCTATGGCAACTGTATGTGAATATTAATTTAGATTATTGGCTTATATTATGTTTGATAAGCTAATGTTGTTGAGGAAGCATAAATTTCAGTTAGCAAACAATATTTTTTGAATACCAGAGTCTTGTGATGAAAAGAAATAAAGTTCAACCTCAAATAATTAAATTTAAGAGTGAAGATAGTATTACATCGGTATTGAATATTTTATGTGAGAATCTCTTTTGTGATGAACTTTTTTGGCCCTGTAACATTGGTGCTATGGATCAAATGGATCCACATATCATTATAAACTTTTTTATCACTATTTTAAAGTTTAAATCACTGCACATTTTTCACCCCTTTATGCTCCTTTAGTCTGCATGTGTTGAAATTAATACCATATTCGTATAAGTTTCCATGTTAACTTACATGATAAGGTGCATACCCAGACTAAACCTCAAAAGAATAAGCAGGAGATTAGAAACCAAACAATTAAGGAAAATAATGTGTGGATTATGATTATAGCCAGATAAGTGGCATTGAGAGCATTGAGTTTACTAGTGGAAGATCCACACAATCACCTTCACCATAGTAACTGTATATAAAGCTACAGAAGACACATAATTATTAATCAACATACAATTTAATCCAAGACTTTAGTGATGCAAAGAACTGTGGTTGAAGATTAAAAAAAATAATAAAAAATAAAAAAAAATCCTATCCTATATAGTAATGATTCTTTCAAATTCATATTGAAGCTTGTTGATGATGTATTGTTATAATTTAATTCATAAAGTCATTTGAAGTGGACCAATAGACTAAATCGATTTGCATAAGTTTTGTTATCACCCTTTCATTCTAAAACTTATATTGCAGGGCATTATAACCCCTTTATACTTCAATTGCTTGCATAGAAATTTCACATCTTTATAGGTTCTTATATTGACTTAATAATGAAGTGCAGACCAAAAGTACACCTCAAAAGCTTAAAGAGGAGATAATGAACCAACATATCAACAGGGAAAATAATGAGAAGTATGATTATAATTTGGTGAGCAGCACGACAAGAATTGGACTTACTGGTGGAAGGGCACTACGGTCACCCTCTCCTGTGGTAAATGTCTATAAATGTTGATATGGATTCTTAGCTTGAATTATGTTTGTTATGCCTTTTTTTTTTATTGGTGGTGGGGGGGTGGGCTGTTATAATATGCATAACTTTGCTTTCATGAATTTGAGAGCCTGTGATGCAAATAAATATAAAAGTTGAAGGCTTGAAGCTGAAAAGATTATGCTTTATAAATAAAATATACAGTTTCATCCATGGTGATGCTAGTCAATGACTTTGGAGTTTGGNGCACGACAAGAATTGGACTTACTGGTGGAAGGGCACTACGGTCACCCTCTCCTGTGGTAAATGTCTATAAATGTTGATATGGATTCTTAGCTTGAATTATGTTTGTTATGCCTTTTTTCTTTATTGGTGGTGGGGGGGTGGGCTGTTATAATATGCATAACTTTGCTTTCATGAATTTGAGAGCCTGTGATTCAAATAAATATAGAAGTTGAAGGCTTGAAGCTGAAAAGATTATGCTTTATAAATAAAGTATACAGTTTCATCCATAGTGATGCTAGTCAATGACTTTGGAGTTTGGAAGTAGTTGTAGCGAATCCCATTGATCAAGGTGCACCATAGAACAAAAGTGTTCTGGTCAGAAATGTAGAAATACTACATAAAAACATGTTTATTGAACTATTTTTTTTTTTCTTTTATCATCTTGATTCTTCTACTAGTTTTTATTGTGTTTTAAAACTTATGTTTTTGCATGCACGGAAAATGATTTCATGAGCATAAAAATGGTCATATGTTCTCTTATGTTATAAACTGCAGAGCAGAACTGTAGCTCAAAAACATGCACATATGGTAGCAAACCAAGTGTTGGATGAAAATAATGATGATAACCACTCTTATGCTTCTAGCTTGGCAAGTGGCAAGGAAAGCATTGGTCATGCTGGTGGAACGGCAGTGTGGTCGCCTTCTCCTACGGTAGAGACTCTATTCTTGTTTAATTTGTGTTCTGTCAAGTTACTATTACAAAAGAATAATTTCGGGAAATTTAAACTGTTTCTATGAGAATCCATCTATTGACCCTTATTACATGAATTCTTGGAACAGAAATACAGTAGCTGTAGCTTAAGGCTTTCCTGAGTTATATTTTAAATTTGGATCTATGACAGTTTAATAGTTAATAATTCTTATACCAGAAGCTTGTAGGATAATGTGGTGTCAATAAGCAATTCAAGTACATGATATATATCAATGTTGTCCGGTCTATTGGTCAAATTCAAAAATCTTGTTTTTCTAAGGCCATGTGCACAGCATTATGATAATTTAGCATTGGCAAAATTAGGATACTGTATAATCTGAAGTTGGTCAATTTAGGATTCTATGACCACCTTTGTTTACTTAGTATCCAATGTTTATCATTTAACTACTACGTGCTTTCATGAACATTTCTATGAATGATGTGGAACTGGCACTTGGTGTGTTCCTGGAGTTGGCTTCTTGTACAATTTTTAGATTGTCTTTTAACTTTTTAGAAGTTCACATTACTAGAGTAAATCTTACTTTCAGATTTGTGTTGTTTCTACTAGTCTGTTGGCACCAATCAAGAAGAACATGCTGCCGCACATTCAACATCAAGTGCACAATCATATTTATCCATGAATTCTGTGGAACAACCATCACTGGCTCATTCAGTTGAACGACCATTGGAGTCCATCAACTCTGTAGAACAACCTCTACCTGCACATTCCACAATGACTAGTCAATCATCTCAATCAACCAATTCCATTGATCAATCTCCTTCCAAAGTCAAAACAATCCCTTCTGGCACCAACAATGTACCTGAGGATAACCAAAGGGTTAAAAGGTATCTTGTTGTTCTAAACTTTTTTTTAATTTTACAAGAGTGATTATATTGTTAACATCATTATATCCCTTTTCCTTTGGGTAAGGTTTGAATCTAGTAATGTTTTGGTTTTCACTAATATTTATGCATCATGTTGATTTTTCCCTTCATCTTTTTATTGAAGTTTAGATAATATGATAAAAAAATAAAAGTAATTAGTATTTTTCCCTCAATTTGAAGTTACTAATTTTGCTTCATAAGATATTCTATTCATAAATGCTAGAGTAATGTTTTCAGAAAGAATACATTCTGTAAAGAATCCATACATTTGTTTGGGATTCTTTAGCTACAGATATGAGCAGTCCATGTCTTCATATTTTATTAATATAACCTTTAAGGGCAGTGCTGTTCCTCGGTTAATAATTATGCATGTAATAATATACTTCTTTTTCTGTAAGTGATAGCCACAGTTTCCTGTTATTAGTTGCAATTCATGTAATATTAAAGGTTAAGATGTTCTAGCTGATTTTAATTACACATGATCTCCAGTTTGGGTTCTTTAGGCATTTTAGTAAATACTTTTTCTATCTATACTTTTTCGTGGTTTGTCAATAAGCAGATATTCAATAGATTTTGGAAGTACAAATTTGAAGGAAGCTTTTCCTGAGCATTCTGCTTCTGCCCTAGAAGATGAGGTATGCCCTTTTCAACTTATAGAATATGGGCTTAATAGGTTCAAAGTTTGCTGGTTCTTTAATTATAGTATTATGTAGTTGCTCACAGAATTTCAATCTTTATCTCTTCCTTTTTAAGATTATTTTTATTTAATTTAATTTGATACCCCGCATATTTTACTTAACAGGTTTTGCATTCGGGAGCCCTGAGAATAGTATAATTTTTTAGAATATTGCACTAATGAGGTCTGAAATTTTTTGGCAGGTGGATATTCTACAGGGAGAAAATGAAAGTTTACTTCAAAAGGTGATTCCATTTTTATTTTCTAGTTGATATTATTGTGCAAGTGTTTGAATTTGGTTTGGTTGTATAAAAAGTTAAATTGTTAAGAAGAATCATATTTTGCTTGTGGACGTTAATTTTGTCCTTTGTGTCTTGAAGAACTGAGTGAAGGTGTTGCAACAATTATCTCCAAATGAATAGACATACTCAAAAAGAGTAGTAATGTTGATATTCCTGTTGCAGCACCATTCAGTAACTCAGTCAATAAAAGATGCTATCCGGAATGGCAGAAAATATTATTTTTTCGTGGAGTAATATTGGTGCTTAATTTTTTATAATGTTTTGGCAGTCCATCCTGATATAACTGATTTGTACCTCCTCAGCTTCAACATGCAGAGGAGAGATGCGAGGAAGCAGAGGCAAGAGCTCGGCTGCTTGAGACACAGGTAATCTTTTTATGTAAAACTGAAATTCCTTAGGGTCTGTTCGGATACCTTTTTGTCTGTTTTATTTTCATTTTATTGCATAGGAAATCATAAAATCTGCGTTCGTATATTGTTTTGTAAAATTGTATCCGGCAAAAAGGGAGAGTTTGGTGGCCTGCAGAGAGAACAGAGAAGACAATGCCTGCTATTGAATTAAAAAATCATTTATTTTGTTTTTCTTTTCACTTCTATTTATTACTTCCAACCAAAATTTTGCTTTCAAAATAAGATATTTAGCAAAAATTATAAACGGAAACTAATGATTGACATATTTAATACAAGTTCTTCGAACAAAATAAGTGATAATTTGAAAGGGCTTTCATCAGTTATGGAAGTAATAAATTTTGTATTTTTCATTCTTCTTTTTCTATATTTTCAAATAAACATGTCAAATGTGTTTTTTTTTTTTTTTTTTTTTGGGTCTTTCCCAATCATTTTTAATATTTTCAAAAATATAGGAAATAAATACACAAAATTAATAAAAGAACACGCCCTTAACTTCTTTACTGTGTTTAGTGGGATATATGGTTTTATTTGTTCCATTAAAATAGTCTTTGCTGAAAGTGTGGGTAATTGAGTTTTTAAATTCATGATGGTAACAAGGCTCCTAAGTGGTATGTTCCATTGTTGCTTTAAAATGGAAGCAGACTGAAGAAAAGGTTTAGCATATTTTTTTAATAATTTTGCAATGGTATTAATCACTTATAATTCCAGAAGTAATTACGTTATTTCCAAAGAATAAGGGTATTCCTTCCTAATACTTTCAAACTCTGTGTTACAGTCAAGGCCTTCATTTTTTGGTTTGTGGTTTTTCTATGCCTCAAATTTTCATTGATGGGTTCTATTTCAACAGTTTAGTTCCTTTGATTTTCATATTATCATTTATTTAGTTTATTTTTAAGGTTGCTACTCTTGGAGAAGGTGTAACGTTAGTGAAATAGTTAACATAAGATTTATACTCAGCTAAAATCTGCTCTTAACATGTTTCAGTATGCTCAAGTATATTTTTAGTGAGTCAATGTATATTTAATAGTGCGAACCTATATGCATGTGTTGTGAATCAAGCTCAAGAATCATATGTCCAGATATATGATTACTAATGCATTATTATTTGTAATTTATATGTTCATGTTGAAGTTACACTTGAGAATGGCTTGCCAACATGGTTTCTTTTTACAGGCTGGTTCGAAAGCTGCTGTGCAGACTCATGGTGGTAACATTGTATGGTTTTCCTTTTATTTCAATTTTCCCCATTATTTGATGTTTCATACCAATTTATCACTGTACTTACAGTAAAGTTATTGAATTGTGTTAGAATGCTAGGAGTGAGGCAACATATGCTCTGGAGCAGCTCCGTGATGCTGAGGATGAAATTAGATCACTACGGGCCATGACTCAGAGACTGACACTGACGCAGGAAGAGATGGTTTTGATATTACTCCAATATAGCATGTCTAATTTCGTTTCATTCTTGTACTTCTTTATGTCATAGTTTTGTGATATCTAGTTCATATATTAGGAAGAGGTGGTTTTAAAGAGGTGTTGGCTTGCCCGCTATTGGAATTTATGTGTTCAACACGGTATATTCATTTTCTCAAAATTTCTAATCTTTTAGATATGTGTTTTACATGTGTTGCTTATTTGTTTGTCTATACACAGAATATTACATTAGGTACATGCATAAGTCATATGCTAGCTTTGGTTGATACCAATTTAATGTTCCCATTTAGTTCCACAGACCTATATATCTTCAATTTTGGATTGAACTGAATTATTGTCTGAGCTCAATGATATCAACATTGTATAGTATATTCAACTTCAGAAAAGCTGAGAGCTTAAAATCAGGTTCCTACTTGTTGACCAATTCTAAGTGTGCACGCATATTCACACTGCCTCTCACATGCCTCTGGTACATGACTAGTTCTAAGCTAAAAGTTCATTCCAAAGGAATTGGAAGCCATTTCTCCCGGAAGTTGCTTTCAACAACACCTAATTTAGTAATGAAGGAAACATGCTACCATGATAGTAATATTCTGTGTATTAGCAGTAAGTTGAGAAAGTGGAATGAGTTCATTTGAAGTTGTTAGAAGCTTCCAGATTTCCCTTTTGGATGAAATGATAATAAACTAACCATGTCCTTAAAAATATGGTTGAACTTATTCTGAAGACTTCACTTTCAAAATTATTTCCAGTTAAAAGCTCTTTTAAATATTGCCGATGTCTGAGTCCGTGCAAATTAACGGTCTTGTGAGTCTGGATTTTGGAGTATCTGAGTCTCACTTACCTTTTTTTTTTTTTTTTTTTTTCCTTTTAATTAAGAAAATTTACACTTTGATTAGATTAGTAAAAAAGTTTGGAGATACAATTGTGGACTAGGTGTCTAGAGAGAATCAAAATTTCAGTGGAGGGAAAACAAATCTGGACACCTATTGCTTTACATGGGTGGTAACATACAATTGTTTATATTGATAAAGTGGGCTTAGATAGAACTCACTCCCAAACGCTAGTTCAAGGGAGGAGAGAGCTCAATCACTTATGTACACCATAACAACCCACTATTGAGGCGATGTGAGACAAATTCAACTTCTAACATATATCACATACGAGTATTAATAAGTTGGATTGCTTTGGACGACTAAAATTTTCTTTTACAACTTGTTTTAAGGTCAATACAATTTCTTGACAGGCATCCTTGCGGACTTTGCTAGTGAGAAGTATGAATACTGGTCTTCATTTGCACCTCTTCCTGATGAAGTTGTAATGGCTGCTGGGCAAAGAGCTAAAGAGGAAAAGTCATCAGGTAAGAATTGCTCCAGATATATGCAATTTAATTTTTTTTAGTACCTTTGTTCCTTTCCAAGGGGGTGGGGGTGGGGGTGGCAGTAATAGGATTGTGAAGACCTCAGGTATACTTACATTCTTTCTTTTGTTTCCTTGCTGAGCAGAGGCCAGTAATGCAGAGGAAAGAGAAAAAATTCCACAGGACTTGAAAGAACAGTCTGTAGAAGGAAATATTGAAAGTATGCTTTTAGTGGAGAAAGGTCTGCGGGAACTGGCCTCATTAAAGGTTTCCGTCTTATCCTTGCATTTGAAAACACTGTAGACATTAATGTATAGGAATATCGGATCATATGTCTTTCCATTGATGCCATTATGCATTTAGCTGTAGTCTCTTGGAAATCTTTCAGATGATGAGGGCATAAATACTCTGTTTTGTGTTGCCATTCATGCTTTGACTTAATGCAGTGTCCGACACATATTTTTTGTGTATTGATTCTTTTATCACATGCGATTTTGTCTCTTCTCTCAGTCAACCAAGGAGAGTTATATATGCTTTTCTGAAATATGAATCTTGCTCCAGAGCTCATTTTTAAAAAAGCAGTTAAAGGAATGACAAGATGCAATTGATGTGATTTGATATATATTAACGAGTTGTTCCTTCTAACTAGTTCTTGATGAAATCATTTTATGAAGGTAGAGGATGCCGTAGCACTTGCCATGGCACTCCATCGACACCCAAATCAGCTGAAACTTGGTATGGATTAACTATCTGTCTTAACTTCTATTTCTCTCATAAGTTAGCCCATTGCTATGATTACAGTCTGGAAAGATTCTCCATCAATTTACTTGCATACCTTGGATATTAGAATTATATACAGTGTATTATGAAATTGTAGCGAAGGTTTCTTTGCTTGGAGCTGCATACTGGTTTGGATACTTTTCTTCTAAGATGATGTTAATCTATTAATCCGCTTGCAGTTACTTAGATTTTGATTCTATGTTTTTCTTTTATCATGATTAACAACTCAAATCCGGTGGCTTGACAATTTCATTCTTCTCTTGTAATTCCATGTGTAGATGAAGTGAAACTACCAACTGAGGGACAGTTTGAGGCATTTGGTAAGTTCATCATTATCTAAGAAATTTTTTTTACTGTTATCAGTTGTCTTCACATATGTTTTATGATTTAGAATCAGTTGGAGTAATCACTGTAAGAAGTACTTGAGTTTGTCTAGTAGCACGGTTGCTGTTTTTTATTTTTCCTATGCGCTTTTATATAATTTTATTTACTAGCCACTATCAACTTTCTTTCTCATATTACACAATAAAGTGTTATCTTTGGACGATGGTTATATGAACTTATAAAAGGATATACCTTTATTTTCAGCATTGAGTCAAGAGGAGTCTGAAGATACGCGCTTTAAGCAGGTATGGATAATTTTTCTTCTCCAATTTTTCAGAAATTTCTTGGGTAAAAATTAAATTGATCGTTTACATTTTCTCTCTTATGAGTAGCTTCTATTCCTGTGATCTCTAGCTCTGGTCTTTCCCTTAAAGAGTATCTTAGAAAGCAGTTCTATAAAATTTATATCAAGTGCTTTACAAATCAGTAAAACTAAAGGAATTTCAATGATCTTGCTGGTTAAGGTCCTTGAAGTATCCTAATGTAGACTTGATAGTGTAGGTAATGATCAGTAAAGTCTATTTGTTCATGTTCCAACAAGATCTTATGTCAAATGACTGGTGAACTGACGTTTAGCACCCATCTGTGCAAATGCAAGTACATTTTGCCAGCTTTTTGTTATTAGCAGGCTTCTGATTCTCAAAGCATGTCGATTGGTATATCCTGATTGTTAAAAAAAAAATGTGATGTTATAGAAGCATAAAAAATTGGCTCTAGTTTTTCCTACGAGGCAACTTATGTGAAATTATGGTCCTTGTGGAGAAAGATACATTACATTTCTGTCATGTTTGCTACTGTAATATATCTTAAGAATTAGACAATACAAAAGGGTTGTAGTAACGTAAAAGGTTATCAAATAGATCTGTCTAGATTAGGACTGGTACTGGGAACCTACAACTCATATAATTTTTTTTCGAAGTAAAATGATTGGAGAAGTAGGGATCTTTTACATGTTTCTTGGCATGCAAAAGAGGTCTGTGTTGAGCTTGTATCTTTTCGAGTTTAATCTGTTTTTGTGGATGAAAAGTCTTAAGACAGTGTTTATGCTTAATAACTTCATGGATGCTTGTTTGATATGCTCATGCAGGCTTGGCTTACATATTTTTGGAGAAGAGCTAAAAACCATGGGGTGGAACCAGACATAGCAGATGATCAACTGCAGTTCTGGATCGAGCACAGCAATTGTTATTCCAGCTCCCATGATGCAGTTGATGGTACTCCCTCTCTCTTTCTTTCTGTATTTCTTGCCACAACACACCAGCTTTTACATACGCAACAATCTTCTTCCCAACTTAAAAAGACTATTTCTTTCAAGCCCGACAATCTGCAGAGTTGTCTTTCTTGTTGTTGACAAACAAATTTTCCAATTAACATTGTCTACTTGGAATGCGAAGTAGTTCTAGCTGACATCTACTCTTTGCTAGAAGTTAGAAAGTCTTATTAAACTAGCTGATCTTGAGGTCTATGATTGTTAAAATTCAGAAACAATTCCTCAAATTGTTATCAAAGGTTTTTCTTATCATGCTTTCAAAATTTCCGTATGAAAATTTTGCTTCCTACGACTATAACATTAAGAAATGTTACCTTCACACACAAACAATATAAACACTTCTTTTGGTATAGTGAAACCATTACACTTGGCATACAGCATAATTTGTAAGTTAAATTATTACTATTCATGATGGTTTCTTGTTATTTACAGTTGAACGAGGTCTTACGGAGCTCAAGAAGTTAGGCCTTGAGAGCAAACTATGGCTTGCAACTCGCAAAGGGCTTGAGCAAGACTTGAAATCACAGGAAGGGTCGGAATTCTAATGTGCGGTTAATATTTATTAAAATTAATTTGATCTTGTGAGAACCTCTCTCTCTCTCTCTCTCTCTCTCTCTCTCTCTCTCTCTCTCTATATATATATATATATATATATACCTTTTATGCGTGTAAGTTTGCTTGGTATGGTACCAAGTATCAAGCAAACATGAATGAACTTACTACATTTGTGCAAATATGTTTTATAGAGGTTGGAATTTGAGTAACTATTTTTTATTGCTTCCTCTGCTCATTATTATTGTTTTCCTTTTCCTGCCCAAGTGCTTTTATATCATAAGTACTTCTTCCAAAGGTATGATGGGTGCTTTTCCATTGAGCAGTGGAAATACTTCTCAGTTCCTACAAAATTATTTTTTCTATTTAAGCTCCTTAACACACGCTCACTCTCTTTCAGGTTAGGACATCTGTCCACTCTGTAGCAAAGCTTTTTCTTTTGTTATCCAATATCTTGCATTATATTACTACTGTAATAAAGCAAATAATATTTTAATTCAATGAATTTTACAAAGTTTAACCAATATCAATATTAATTATAAAAATAATATTAGAATAATATCATAAAAAATGTAATTAATATTATAATCTACCTCACAAAAGATGGATGAAAATATTTGACAAAATATTGTTATAATGGCAATTTGGTAATACAANCCTTTTTATGCGTGTAAGTTTGCTTGGTATGGTACCAAGTATCAAGCAAACATGAATGAACTTACTACATTTGTGCAAATATGTTTTATAGAGGTTGGAATTTGAGTAACTATTTTTTATTGCTTCCTCTGCTCATTATTATTGTTTTCCTTTTCCTGCCCAAATGCTTTTATATCATAAGTTCTTCCGAAGGTATGATGGGTGCTTTTCCATTGAGGAGTGGAAATGCTTCTCAGTTCCTACAAAATTATTTTTTCTATTTAAGCTCCTTAACACACGCTCACTCTCTTTCAGGTTAGGACATCTGTCCACTCTGTAGCAAAGCTTCTTCTTTTTTCTTGTTATCCAATATCTTGCATTATATTACCACTGTAATAAAGCAAATAATATTTTAATTCAATGAATTTTACAAAGTTTAACCAATATCAATATTAATTATAAAAATAATATTAGAATAATATCATAAAAAATGTAATTAATATTATAATCTACCTCACAAAAGATGGATGAAAATATTTGACAAAATATTGTTATAATGGCAATTTGGTAATACAATGTAAACCATTGGATTAAAAAAATAGAGAGATGAACTTTTGGTACACTCAACTCTCGAGTGGACAGATGTCCTAACTTGAAACTTGAAAGTGAGAGTGAGAGAGCGAGTCTTAGGGAGTGTCCCTCCCTAGCACTGCTCTTTAAGCCACATCCTATAAATAAAGGCAGATTTGGAGAAACGATAGATTGGTACTCAAAAGATTTTAAAAAGACAAACAAGTATCTTTCATTAGAGAAAAGACTAGAATGCCCTTTCAGAAAATTAGTTTATTTTTTTAATTATTTTTAGACCCGTTAAGTTTATTAATTCCATCAAATACCCCCAAAAAAAAGTTTAAAAATTAACAAAAACACCCCCATCCACCCATACTTGCCAGATTCTGACAGCCACCATCAGTGGTAGCCGGAATCTATTACAACGGTCTACGCCATCACCGAAAATGGCCAGTAGTTCACCGATCTAGCCTTTTTTCGGCCAGATCCATCACGGATATAGCCGGAAAAGGCCAGATCTAGCCGTCGATGACCGCAACACTCCATCTTTGGCAGTCAGCGACGGCCAAAGATGTGGCCGTCGTTGACTGTCAACGTTGGCCACATCTTTGGCCGTCACTTTCAGGCTAGATCTAACATTTTTCGACCAAATCCACTGTAGATCTGCCCGAAAAAGGCCAAATAGGTGAAATACTGGCCATTTCTGGTGGTGGCCGTCGGAATCTGGCAAGTATGGGTGAGTGGGGGTGTTTTTGTTAATTTTTAAACTTTTTTCTGGGGGTATTTAATGGAATTAATAAACTTAAGGGGACTAAAAGTAATTAAAAAAATAGACTAATATTTCTCAAAGGGCATCCTAGTCTTTTCCCTAATGGAAGGTACCTATTTGTCTTTTTAAAACATTTTGGGTACCAATCTGTCGTTTCTCCAACCTTGGGTAGGTGTAAGTTGTTTCCCCATAAATAAATAAATAAAATAAAATAAATAGATAAAAACTACTATTAATCTACCTCATGACTAAAGGCTTCGAAATCACCCAATTATATTTATATATATTTTTTTTTTGACCAAGATATGTGAACTAGTTTATGTGAATCTCAACTCTACGAGATTTATTAAACACTTTGCATTTAATGAAACTCAAATACAAGACCTCTAAAATAATTTAAAGTCTTATCATCCGATCACAAATCAAGTGATTACCCAATTTACTGTACTTTTAATCAAGAACAAAAATTGGCTGTTATGTTATGAGGATAAACAATGTATTGTCCTTTGTGATAAGGATCATAGATTCATAAAGGATAAGAGGAAACATAAAAGTGAATCTTTGGCCAAGAACCATGGCATTTCGCCCATTGTTTCACTCTAATCAAATTAAGGCCGTTGCAAAACCTAAAGAACTCTCCAAATTGAAACTCCTGAATATAAGACATGAATAGGATTTAACTTCTATTTTAATATAGAGAAAGAAAAAAGAAATAATTCGGCCGTCGTTAAGATAAAACATTAATTAAAATGATAATATTATATAATCAATAATCTTATATATAAAATTGAAATCCTAATTTTATAAATATAATAATCAAATGTTCAAACACCTCAAACTAACTCTCTAAGTTTACTTATATACTATACACAAACTGTCAAATTGTCCATCGTGGGTTTTTATTCTTAACTTAAACTTTAATAATGTAATAAAATTATATTAAAATAAAATTAAGTGCTTGTGGTTCACTATTAAACGACGTGTCGTTCTTAAACTCAAAATACAAACCATTCCGTTTATAATCTGAAAGACAGTTTGTTCACCAACTCTTCAAGGATTAGGTTTTCTGTGATCAATCGCAAAAATGCGAGCTCTTGAGGAAATTTCAAAACTCCCAATTTCTGCAATTACTCAATTACAAAACCCTAATTCCAATTCTTCTTCAACTTTCCAACACGGTCCGGTTCTTGGCCCACAACTCTACAATTGGCTATTTCAGTGTCATGGGTTCTTACACAACGTCTTTTTGATTGTATCTTCGCTTCTATTTGTACTCTACTTGGCGTTTCAAGCCAAAAGGAGCTTCTTTAAATTATCCAATGGGCGATCCTCTATTATGATTGCTTATTATGGCTGTCTTTGGATTGTTAGCTTGCTCAATCTGGCTTGGTGTTGCTTTCAGGTTCGTAGGTTTCAATCACGTTTCCACATTTTCTTTTTCACTCTGTGGGTTTATGTATTTTATATATCAAATATTGAAACTTTTTTGTATTTGCCTCAGTTAAATAAAATAACATTTTGGAACTTGTATGCTTAAGATTCGAGTTGTGAGCTTTATTTTGTTTGATGGAGAGACTTGAGAAATCAGGAATGGTTACACTTTTGAATTGCATTTGCAGGGAATTTCTAGCTTTTGTGTGCTCTTATCTTGCTTGATGTCCAATTCTGTTTTAAACAATATAGTTGCTTTTCCATTTTGAAATATATTCAGCATGTCATTATGTTTTCATTCAATCTGCTGATAGGATAAGAGGGAAGTGTTAATATTAATAGACTTTGTTTGTCTAGTGTGTGTCTGCTTATTATGTGTCTTGAAAAATGAGACTGGCCTAGTCAGTGCCCATTTTCTCGGCCTATTGTCTCAGTTAAGATTAATGTAAATTGGTCTTACATGCTCTAAGGATGCTAAATCCCATGGCTGGTTGAAAGTTTATTATTTGAGTTTGATGCTGGAGTGCTTTATAGTCTATACCTTCTGCTTAAATTTTCTTTGCTGATGCAGGCATGGGAGTGCACTGCTGGGAAGGAAGTTCCATGGAATATCTTATCTTTGTTTACAACATCTGGAATGCTGTTTTTGGAAGTAAGCTTGCTGGCCTTTTTATTCCAAGGGAATTATGCCAGTGGGTCGGAAGCCTTAACACGGACTTTTGTTGTCTCAGGACTCATTTTAGGGTTGGATATACTTCTGAAGGTATTTCTTTTACTCCAAACCATTTCACCTTTCTTGTACCAAGATTTATCTATTGCTGACCATAGGGATACAGTAGAAGAAATATGATGACTTCTTTTATCATTAGGCTGTACTAAGTGCATACGCTTTAATATCCCAGGGTCCAGATTGTTGGGCCTCATGGAAATCCTAAGCATATTGGGTTGTATGTATGATGCATACGTGCTGAACCTTTTTATTTTATTTTATGTTTTTTGGTTGAAGAAACAAAGTTAAAACTTTTCTTTTTCATCTAATAATTATTTTATTGATGCATTGATATAATTTACCCTGGAAGTGATCTTTTTATTCACACAATTTCTCTTTCAGGCAATTTACCTTTTCGGGTTCGGGGTCCCTCTTTTCATTGACAGCTCTGATCATCCTCACCATGTGAAATGGGGTTTGTGGGTTGTCCATAGGCTAGTGCTTACTGCAGTGTATGGCCTCATATTGTTCATGTACCACTCTAAGTGGAGAGAAAGATTACCTGGTAAGTATGTTATATAGATGCATGTTTCGATTTTCATATGCCAATCTAATGCCCACATATGTTCGTGGTGTCTCCCTTTTATGCAGCAAGACCTGCATTCTACAAGTATATCATTATCATGTTTACCTTGAATGCGATGTCACTGTTTGCTTGCGGGCTTCTTGGGAATGGAGCTAGTTTTGGATTCTGGTAACTCTGCTTAATATTTATTAAAAAAAAAAATTTTTTTTTTGATACAATAGAAACATATCAGATGGCCTTATTAATGTGTAAAATCTTTTACAGGTTGTATGGTGCCACAATTGTTTGTTATCATGCCTTCTATCTTCCTCTTATCTACTTAACATTCTTGGCGGACTTTTTCCAGGTAATAAACATCATGCTAAATTGCAATTTTTTTTCTTTTTTAAACTTTGATTCTTTTTGGATTTGTGGTCATCCATGTTGTTCAGCACTTTTTTGAAATCAACTTACAATGTATTAGTATGATCATGATTGTTGGTTCTACTCTTGACAATGTAGGAGGAAGATTTGCATTTGGAGAATGTATATTACTCAGAGATGAAAGATGCTGGATTTTTTGATGGAGACTGGGAATGATGCAGAAGCAACTTTTTGAATCATGAGACAATCAGGTTATTAGAGTCTGTAAATAGAAGTAAGTAGATCTTAAAGGCAAAATGCCTGGATTGAAGAGATGCTTCATTAACTTTGTATGTACTTATGTTGCTTTTGGCAATCACAAATCTTATAATGTAGATTAGGTCTTGGATGTCCTATTATATATCATGGTGCCCGACTCTATTATTTGTGCTATGCATCAGTTCCGGGTCTCTCAGCTATGGTTTTTATTGATTTTTCTAAATGTGTAATTACTAATTAATAAATGAGGCTTGAAAAGTTCTTGAAAGCCTTAAAATAGTAGGAGTCATTTGTGCAATTGATATCATTGTGTCTGAATGCCATTTCCAGGTCTTATCTACTTTCTATGCCCTCTGGATTTAGTAACTTGGCTGTACATTGTCTTACTGTCCTTAATTTGGTCAAATCTCAAATGGTCAAAATCGCCAGTCTGATGCTACAACTTGAACTGGGAAAAGCTGGAATTTAGAATCTGCAGTGCTAGAGTTGCCTTCAAATATTTTGGCTGTGTTTGTTTTATTATTCAAAATACTATTCTATTTAATCTTATTCAAAATATATATTTGTTTCAATATTCTCAAAATCTAATTTTATTCTATTGACTCAAAAGGTTTAGATTTTTTTAACTTCTTAAGTTTGTTAATTTAACAAAATACCTTTAACAATAAAAGTTCATAAATTGACAAAAATACTCCCACTCACCCACATATTCCTGGCAATCGACCACCAATGTCAGAAGGCGGTCAGAATTTGTCAGAATAGAGCACAATCGGCTGGATGTGATTGATCGTGCGTTGGTCTAGTCTTTTCTGACCAAATCTATGGCCAAAGATCTAACTGTTAACGACCAAATCTGGCCATATCTGATCGTCAACGACGGCTTAGATATGGTCGGTCAGAAAATACCAGATCAATGTACTACCAGCTAGATCCAATCAATCATGCGTCATTCCAAATACTTTCATCTAACGATAATGACCGGTTGTCGACATTTAATGGGTGGGTGAAAGTAATTTTATTAATTTCAAAAGTTTAATGGTAAAAAATGTTTAACTAAATTAACAAATATTAAAGATTAAAAAATAATCTAAATATTTTTAAAAATGGTTTTAAAAAATTTACCGAACATATTTTCAAATTCAAATCATATCCTCGTAATAACAATTCAATTCAATTTTTTCAAAAATACTATTCTAAATACCATATCAAACACAGCCAAATTATTTTTAAATAATATTATATTTTTAATGTGTAATTAGTATTTGATTAGATGGTCCTGAATAACTAAATTAGGAAGAGTGACATCTATAAAAACAAAAAAAAATGAGAACTCTGCATAACTGATCTTCTTGACAGTAGGCATGTAAATATTAGCAAAAGCAGGTTTCAACTCTAAGCACAGCTTCATAATTTAAGTAAAATCCCAACCTAACTCCTGAATTTAGATTCAATTAACAAAGAACACGAGTTCACAAAATTGCAAATTACTTCATCTACGAGAGCCTCTTTCAACTAATAATTTATTCTAAGCTCCGTTGTTCTCAATGAGCTTCTCAATAAGATCTGCGGCATCCTGAACAGTTGCAATGGTCTGTGCGCTATCCTCCTCCACGCTGATACCAAATTCCTCCTCAAGTCCCATCACAATCTCAACCTAAAAAGTGGTTGAATTGGATCAAGTTACAGCACAAAACGCCCAAAAATACACTGTTGACCAATCCAAAGGCAATATAATACATGGAATATGTATCAAAAGGCAAAACTTTTTGCAGAAACCACTATAACACAGAGTTCGGGGCATAAGTTAACATGCAGAAACTTCATGGATAATAATTAGTTACCGTATCAAGAGAATCAGCTCCGAGCTCAGCAAATTTTGAATCACCAGCAACTAAAGAGTCCTCCGGTAGCGCCAGTTGTTTCTTTACTATTTTGCACACCTTATCCACTGTCTCTGGTTTGGCCTGTTCAATGGCAATGAATATACATGTCAATGTTTTTGTTTATAAACAAGAAACTAAATGCCACATGTGAATACTGAGAACTTGATATTCAAATAAGAATCACAAGGGTTTTGAAACATTGAGATGAACGAGTATCCACATATGGTGGGTAAAAGAACCAGAAAAAAAGTTTCTAAGGTTGGTGGATCTAACAAGAGAAACAAACCAGTGGCGATTTGAAGATATTTAGATAACATACTATGATACCATCGAAAAGATTTGAGAATTAACAGCATGATTGGAATCAAATATATTTAAGATGCTCCTTGTGATCACCATAAGCTAGGACGGAACCAACAATCAAATTATGAAATTACATAAAGAAAACAATCCACAATTCATATTATGCAAAATTATGTCCAAAATTAATCTCTTGTACAAAACTAATTCAGCACCCATAAAAGACAAGTAAAAAAATCAAGGATAAGGAGAAACATACAGCACAGGAAATCTGCAAGCGAGAAGGCAGTGGACGCAACTGAAATGAAAGGCTGCTTCTTCCTTGACTAGAAAGTGAAGCCAACTTCACACCAGATATCCTGCTTGTTGCCTGTCCCAATTGTTCAATGAAAAGACATTAACGATGGAATTGATACAAAGAATTACTAGGAGACCAATCCAATAGTGTAATTAAACTTTGTAATAAAAAATATACCATTCAACAAATTCAAACCAGTAATGAATTAACAATGACATGTACCCATTAAAATAATCATCTTTACTAATTCATTTTATTTTTTCTAGGGTAGTGATCATATTTACATGTTATGAAGCTGTGAAAATCTAAATAAAACAACACAAATTCAATTATTCAGAAAAATAATTTCCGATTCTCCAGAGAGGTAAAGACCAATTATTTCCTAAGAAGATAATCATTTAACATGCATATCACACTTAATTTGAGATTATGGAGTACCCAGATGAGAAACAACTGATACTACAGCAAACATATTAACCCATACGAGGTTTTTACACATAACAGCTAAATTGATCAAATCTCAACAAAAATGAAAAACCGCAGCTTTGAAATGGCTTAATAAGCAGAAATGACTTCAAAATGAGCAGAACCAAAAAAATAATAATAATAATAATAATAATTAGGGAAAGTACCAGGCGAGAGCGCATGGAGATCGAAGAACCAGTAGTGGCCGCCATTTCCAGAATTGGGTAAAGAGAGCGACGAAGAAAACAAAGTTGGCCAAGTTAAAGCGAAGATGTTGAAGTATTTATAGGCAGGTGGTTTTTCATATCGACAAGAATGTATTTTAGGGATTTATGGATTTACATGGGAGAATGGCTTCGTTACACCACCGGTAACGTAATAGCACATCATTCACCATTGGATTAAAATCTTTAGATAGCAAATAATGATTCAAAATTTCAATATAAATTATGATTAATACTAACGCTAAGCTTGTCATGTGTTCTAAAATATGAGATGTTCCTTGGCAGCTTTTTTTTTTTTTTTTTTTTCTTCAATTGAGTTATAGAATATGGGCCGAATGACATCCTCTCACCTGAAGTTCGCCCCAAATACAACGTGTATCCAAATGTTTCAAATGACAATTATCTACTTCTGTTAATATCTATCGTTAAGTTTAACTGAAGAATGATAGATGGAAAATTCAAAAATAATCTAAAGGTAATATGTCACTTTATCTCCTATGTAAAAAAAAAAAAAAAAAAAAAAAAAAAAAACCTACTCTCATCTTCGTCTCATTTCCCCCCTCCCCCTCTTCCTCCCATCATCATCTTCTTCATCTCTCGGTCAAAACAGCAGGGTGTGTTGATGATGGGGTCGAAAACAAGGAGTCGCCGAACATACATAACACGCAAAATTCGGTCAACTTTAAAGTATGTCAGAGGATCAACTAAAATGAGTTCTTTAAACTAGATGTGTGAATATTTGTTATCTTCCAATGAAGTGAACCTTCCTAAGGTATATCTAAAGCTTTCTAAGCGTAACGAGTGGGGGCTGACCCTTCTGAAACACTTTCCGAGCTAGTATGTGTGAATCCTTTACAAATTTGTGTTTAAAAGTAATTTTAACACCAAAACAAAAGAAATGAAAGCAAGAAGGCTCGGCCATGGAGGAGAGAATTTTAAGATCAAAATTTTGATCTAAAATTCAAAAGATGCATCTAATAGTGTTTCTGATTTCTTTATATAGTTAGTGGAATTTGGACAATTTTATTTTAGTCCAAAATTTCACATATACTCTGCAAGTATTCCTCCACTAGCCATATCATATTTTAGCTCACTATTACTAAATATTTAACATGACAATCATGTAAGATTTTCTCCACAAATGTGTTAATATATTTAATGCATGTCTCCGAATACCTTATGTAACTAGTCTAATTTAATTTCCCAAACTATTCTAAATAGTTCAAATTAAATTAGACTAAATTATTTTTCGCACACATTGTCCAGGATAACTTTTATCGGCTACCTAGGGGACCCATATGGAAATGTTGAATAACATGCTTCAACGTATTCGGCATCGTACCCCTTTATCTCACAAACGTAAGGTATCGAATGCGTTAGCATTGTCCGACTCCACTATAGGGACAACATTGCACTCTTGAATTAAAAATTATGTTTATCAGAAACTTTAATAATTTAATCCGATTAAATTATCTTATTAAAGTCTTTCCATTTAGTGATAGCTACATATATACCCTCATGGAACACCGACAACTGGAACTAGGACCCTATACCGATATACCCTTCCAGTTACATATTTTCCTTGCGACCAGTTTTACTGCCACTGAATTATAAATGTTTAATGAACACTTATCAAACGTTTGGCCAAGTCTCATCATTCAGGACCCTATAAAACCCACAAGACCTTTCGGAGTTATAAATTCCATATCTATGGAATAGTGTTCTCAGACTTATAAAGCTACAATCCTAATCAGCCAAGGTATTGATCCATTAAACAACAGAATCTCACCTTCTACTCTAATCAAAGACTATAGTCTACAAATCAAAGGTACATTACCCACTCAAGATTAAGATACATATGCCAAAGTTGCTAAGGTGTGAAGTTTATGTTTTCCATTACAGTAGTCACACAGAATTATAAACTTCACTTGGTCTAGTTCAATGTATATTGTATGCACAAGTGTCTCTGCCCTAAAATCCTCATTTTAATGATTCGAGATTCATCACCTCCATGGAGGCAAACAACACACCAACCTTGTTTGTCTAAACTGAGTGCCCAGTGTCGAACCAGTCATCAAGGTCACAAAATAGTTAGCGATAAGAAGGGTCGAATCCATAGGGAGCAAGACTATCGACCTAATGCATATTCGAGTTGAACAAAAGGGAAATTGACAAATTGATTAATTAAACTAAGGAAACTAACTAATTGCAAGAAATCAAAATTACCAACTAAAACACTATAATAACGGCGTTGTGCCTTCGGGTTTGGTTTGACCCAAGACTAACTCCCACAATTCCTTTCCTCACTCTTAGACTTCCTAAACCTATAAGGCTATGCAAATCACATAAAATGCCACTGGTTAAAGACTATCATGTCTCCCTGTCGTCTTATTCACAATCAATTAATTAAAGACTATCATGTCTCCCTGTCGTCTTATTCACAATCAATTAATTAAAGACTATCATTGACGAACCGAAAGCTCTAACAATTAAATACCACTAGTTGGTACAAAGCCAACAAGTACAACCTATCAACTTTGTATCATCTAATCAACCTATTACACAACGAATGTATTCATAGTAGAAATGATATTAAATGCTAATACAACTTGATTGCAATTAATATCGAAGCAATTTAAAGTCATAATCAATATTCAATAATCTCAAACCGACATTCATTTATGCAACAAGTTCAATTTCAATAAACGTTCTCCATGGACATACTCAATTTAACACATCAAGCATCAAAATAATATTAAAGCATCGCAAACAAACTGAAACAAAAGCAAATATAATCTGAATACAAGAAACTTAGCCGATTGTCCGATTGTCCAGGCTCAATCCAACTAGTCAAGAGTTGCCATGAGGAACTGTGGTCGCTGATCGAGGTCTGGCTGTCATCGTAATAGGCAACCGGGAGCTCAGCCACTCATGGTGGTGTTGACGATGGCTAGAAACAATGAAATGGTGTAGGTCATGGTGGAAAATAGGTAACCGGTATCTGGAAGATGTGGATTGTGGCCAAGGAAGACTAAGAGGTGCTGGGAAGATGAACGGTTGCCGGTAGTGGCGGTTCATTGCGATTGGTGGCGAAATGGCAAACGAAACTATTAGGAGGTAGAACAGGTGATACGAAAGATGGATTGGTAGCTAGGGAGACCAAAAGTCATCGGAAAATGAGCAAAACTGCCTAGAAGCCGAAGCCTGAGTGAAAACGAAGCGTCGTTAGTCGTTCTTTGCCAGAATCAGTGTGTGAATGCTTGTGAGAGATAGATCGACACAAAGGGAGGTGGATCGACGCCGAAAAAGGGGGAAACACCATTAGGAGTCGGAACATCGTTGGTGTGGGGTGAACGACAATGGAGAGTGGCTAGTCGGCGTGAGAAGGTGAAGGGTCGCTGACTTGGAAGATGAAAGGTCACTGTTCGGTGACCAAATGAAGTGAGGTTCTGTTTTGGAGGTGGCTGGCTACTCCATTTTTCGATTTCATTTTCTTTTTATAGTCAAAATGGTAAATATCATTTCAATCCCTGAATGATTAAAAAGTGACAAAATCAACCCTTGAAAATATGACATTTTACCCCCTGAAAAACATAAATGAGACAGATTCAACCTTAATCAATAAACCACAACTTAATATCGACTCACACACTCTCAAAAATCATTCCAAATATGCAACACTCGTAAGAAAACATTATAATGTGATTTTTCATGAATAAAATCATAATTTCATAAATTGTCTCAATATAAATTCAAATTAAATCATAACAAGGGTATTTTAATCATATTAATGGAGTCATTTTCATGACTCTTAACACTGAGCTCGTGTTTCATGATTGTGAACATAGTTTCAAGCTACCATAAAATCTCGTATCTCCCATATATGATTGTTTCATATAAATGAGGATTTTTGTTTCATATAAATGAGGATTTTATCTTATTCACTAGCTAAGGAACCTTTGACCATTGATGTATATACATATTCACATGTATTATAAAAGGAGATATAAGATGGCAATAAAACAATTTTATTTATATATATCAATTGTTTACAATATTTCAAAAAAACATGTACTCTTAAGGCGTAACCCCAATAGTTGGTTGCTTGGCCAGAAGCACAAGAAATGCTTCTAACCCAATCTCACAGTGAAGTGGCGATGGTGCGAAGACAGGTGCGGTAGATGAATATCCAATGTGCAGCTAACTAGAATGCGCTTACACAGTCACAAATTGCACGATTGTCGCGAAGATTAAGGAACGACAGTCACGCAATCAATCAATCCACAAGGCAAGCTCGGTACCACGTGACATGAAGCAAAATCAGCAAAAGAAAGCATTGTGACGACAAAGAGACGTAGCACAATCGAAAGCAAACACGATCTGTTCTACACAAGTGGCGGCAATGACCAGATGGTGTTGCAATGGCGTGATGCAAAAGAATACGAGGGCGACACAACTGTTTGTGGGGCTGATGGAAATCGTGTTAGCATAACAAGGAGCGGGTTGGGAGGGTGAGGGCTACAGTTGGGGATTGGAAAAGTGGCGAAAACCACCGACGGCAGTGCCCACTGTAGCCAATTGAGAGAAAATTCTCTCCAAAAAATTTTTCCTTCAGTTTTTAATTTTTTTTTTCTAACTTTTTACAATTTGGGTATGAAGTGTTTGAAATTTGCGGTGGTTTGTGGCAATGGTGATAGCTGTATTTAGTGATTCTACAGGCAAGTTTGGACTGGTGGAGGTCCAAGTGTAGGTAATGCAATTCGGATGGATGCGATTCCAGTAGAATAAGATATGGGATTTGGATTCAAAGAGAGAAATAGCATTTTTGTCTTTACAGTAGCTATCAATGTTAGATAACAGATTTTATTAATATATATTAACGAAAAGTGGGTAATTGTTGTTTTGAAACTTTTCGGATATAAAATTATCTTTAGGGCAAATTTCGAGTGGGAAGATGTCGCTCAACCTAGTATATTAGATGTTTGTTTTTTTAATATAGGAAAGAAAATGGTGTTATGTTTGTTTGATTAAATATGGATAATTTTCAAATATAAGATGTGTGTTTTAATTTTTTTTTTTTTTTTTTTTTGTCTTATTTGC